TTGCATGGCTGTGTTTTGGCACCTTTAAAGCCCCAAAAAATCATCTGTTTCTTGTTTGGTAAGGGGATGTGGTGCTGCATCACTCGTTGGCTCTAAAGGCAATTTTGATAGTGCTTGGGCAAAAAGTTACGGTCATCATGTTTCCGAATAGCTTCTCCATCTCTCAGCTCTTTTTCCTTGAGCTTCCTGTTGAGTAAAAGATCATAAGCTGCTCTTGTGCTGATCAGCAGCACAATCTCCAGCAGCTGTTCCTCTTACTAGTTTGGATAAAGGTGGCCATACACCTAACAACCATTGCACGACTTTCGTTGTGCGATGGTTGTTAGGTGATTAAAATTTTGTATGACCTGCCCATCTTGGACAGGCAGATCATACCTGCGATCATCGCAGGTCCTCCCCGCTGAGGGGAGGGCTTGCAGATGACTGCAATGTTGAGCGGGCAATGTGCGCTTGCGCACCTCGGCCCGTGCGGCTTTCATCTTGCGATCGCGCTACCAACCCGCCGAAAATCGTGCGATTTTCGGCAGTTTTTCTAGTGTGCTCGTAAGAAGAAAGTCGTGCGACGGCACAGTAAATGCGGTCGCACGCTTGCCATTAAGTCCAATACAACTCAAGCACCAACCTGGCACGTAACTCAAATAACAGAAGTAGTAAAAGTTAACTTCTTCATTACGAATGCATTTTTGTGAGGGGCAGTAAAGAGTGAAAGGTACTTGGGGTTTTGCAGTCAGGATTCACTTGCACAGAGCTGTACAACATGGAGTCCTTCTTGAAAGCTGAGGAGTGATTATGTGCTGCATAGAGAGATAGGATGCTGAGTTGAATGTAGAGAACGCACTGCAATGGAGTAGACAGTGCATTCCATGCGGAACCCTTCCCGATTAGGAGAAGGAGAAGTTTAGTAGTCTTGGAAGGAGTTGTCCTGAATGAGAATGGAAGAGCTGCTGTATACTTTTTACGAAGAGGTAAGTAGAGATCTGGATGGAGGGAGGCCGGTGGATGTGGTATACTTGGACTTTGTTAAAGCATTTGATACAGTACCACATAAACGTTTACTATACAAGCTGAGGTCTATGGGCATAGATGAATGAATGTGTACATGGATAGAAAACTGGCTACAGGAACGGGTACAAAGAGTATCGATAAATGGCACCTTCTCGGATTGGGCTAGGGTCATGAACGGCGTGACGCAGCGGTCTGTGATGGGCCCCATGCTGTTTAACATATTCATTAACGATATTGGGGAGGGGGGTAAACAGCCATGTTTCAGTGTTTGCTGATGATACCAAAATCGGGAGGGGAATAGTCACTGAATCAGACGCTATAACATTACAGGAGGACCTGCATAAAATAGGGGAGTGGGCAACTACATGGCAGATGAGGTTTAATGTAGATAAATGTAAAGTTGTGCACTTTGGGGTTAAAAAACAAGAAAACGGATTACACACTAATGGGAGCTCCCCTGGGGAAGTCCGAAAGGGAAACAGATCTGGGTGTCATTGTAGACCACAGGCTGAATAATAGCTCGCAGTGTCAGGCTGCAGTAAACAAAGCAAGTAGGGTCCTGTCCTGTATTAAGAGGGGAATGTTTTGCAGGGACAAGTCCGTAATTGTGCCACTTTATAGATCACTGGTTCGGCCTCATCTGGAGTATGCGGTCCAGTTTTGGGCACCAGTGAACAGAGGGGATGTCCTTGAAGTGGAAAGAGTCCAGAGGAGGGCAACCAAACTCATAAAGGGGATGGAGGACCTGAGCTATGAGAACAGGCTCCTAAAATTAAACATGTTCTCCTTGGAAGTAAGGAGATTAAAGGGGGACATGATTTTCATGTATACAATGTTTACCGGGGATAGTAACATTAGCAACAAACTTTTTACAATAACTCCATGACAAGGACGAGAGGCCACCACTTAAAATTGATGGATACATTTTTTTAGCACAAGGGGCGAAGGGGTTTCTTCTCAGATCAGTCAAGGTCTGATACTCGCTGCCACATACTGTGATTTCGTCTGAGAGTGTTGAATCATTAAAAAGGCAATTGGACGATTTCCTCAGGGACTGTAATATACAGGGGTACAAGTACTCTTAAGATTGAGAACACACAGGGACCTATACATACCACACACCAATAGGACCGTACACACATACACAAATAGTTTGGACTTGATGGACATATCTCTTTATTCAACCTCAAATACTATGTATACAGGGCCGTCTTTAAGGTGGGGCAAAAGGGGCAGCTGCCCCGGGCCCAGTCACTGCTGTGGGGTCCTGTCAGGGTCGGTGCTGCCGCTAGAGAAACAAGGCAGTCGCCTAGGGTTCACTGTCGACCAGCGGCAGTGCCAGTCAGTGACATAACAACTGGGAGGCAGGGAGCGGCACTTTCCAGGGACCGAAGGAGTGAAGCAGTCAGCAGGAACAGCCTGAAGAGCACCTGACAGCTGCCCATCTTGCTTTCACTTTCCACTGACGTGGAGGAGATGATCAAAGAATGCTAAGATGTTACATGAGATGATCAGAGACTGCTGGCATTTTACTGGAGATGGTCATAGGCTGCTGGCATGTTATAGGAGATGGTCAGAGACTGCTGGCATATTACATGAGATGATCAGAGACTACTGGCATGTTACAGAAGATGATCAGAGACTGCTGGCACGTTACAGGAGATGGTCATAGACAGCTGACATGTTACAGGAGATATTCAGAGACTGCTGGCATGTTACAGGAGATATTCAGAGACTTCTGGCATGTTACAGGAGATGGTCAGAGACTGCTGGCATGTTACAGAAGATATTCAGAGACTGCTGGCAGGTTACACCAGGGGACATTCTCAGTTGTCATTATTATTATTGATGTTATTCTATGCAGTGGAAGTGGTGAGTGGCAGATTATCCACACATTTACCCTAAAAGGAGAACTATTGGGAGAGTGAATTACCCTCATCCCCATAGTTAGAGCCAGCGTGTGACTCTGAAGCTGTCACGCATCGGCTCTATATATTGAGAACTGAGTGATCACAGACCTCTGATCGCGGAGTTCCCGATCATCTCCCTGAAGAGAGTGGTGACTATCAGTCACAGTCATTCCCCCCTATTCTCGCTGTTCCTCCAGCGTTCATTGGAGGGGCAGACGGGAGGGGGCGGGCACAGCTGGCTCTGGCTCTAGAGAGGCAGAGTCGGCTATCAATCAGGCAGCAGGGTGGATCCTGACCATATTGTCGGGATCTTTTCCAGCTGCAGCGTGGCTCTGTGCTGTCAGCATATAGTGGACAATATTGCATGGCGGAGGAAAAATGGCGGGGGCAGGGCATGGCAGGGGGCCCAAGAAAATGTTTGCCCAAGGTCCAATCAATATTAAAGACAGCCCTGGCTGTATACACCAGGATGGAGGGGGTTAATTCACCACTACCATGGAAGAGTGCAACAATCATTAACGTGAGCCAGGATGGGGGGGGTGGAACGAATGAGGCTGCCAGTAAAGGTGAGTAATGCTTTGCCAGAATGGAGAGTGGAACAGGGTACAGCAAGGGTAAGGATGGAGAGCGGTCTGGAGTTTCATTGTCCAGCATCAGCACATTGCTTGAACACTGAGCAATTGAACTTCCCAACTTAAGCCATTTGGGGAGGAGGAGCTGTATGATGTTGCAGCCTCTGACAGACGGGGAGGCGGAGCTGATCTCCAGTGCCGAAACGACGACATGAGTATGTTGGTGTGTTTCTGGAGACACACAAAGCTTAAAGAGGAACTTTACTCATATCTTTAAAGTAACAACAAACCCTCCTTTAGGAATGTTTAGTAATGGCAATCTACAAACAGATACTTCTAGATAATTGCAGGCTTTGTATTCTTTGCATACCTTATTTTTCTTTTCTTTTCTTTCCCAATCTTCTGAGAGTGGCCATGTTAACTAAGGGCAGGTTACTAGCTCTCCCTTTACTTCCTGGAACTCTGGCACATGTGACTAGGACATGTGACCATGCACTTCATCTTAGGGGTGAAAAATACCTTTCCTTGAGATTTCATGAGCTTACAAATGAGATTACCCAGCAATGCTCTGCTGATGTAACCTTCCCAGGATGCAATGCTTTGGCACAATACATCATTTGTGCCAGAAGTGGACCAGGAGTTGAAGAACTCTATTTGTAACTAAATGAAAAACAAGTTTGTTTAACTAATGAATGCAAGATGATTTTACATACAGATGATTCTGTACTTTTAGTGAGGGGGTAAGGGACCACTTTAATTGCACAGACAAAATGGCTCCTTGGGATCCTGCAAGAGAAAGGGAAGCTAAAACTTTTAATCATCAAGGAGCATAATCCATTGTAAGTGATTTAATCAATATTTAAAGTACCTTTCAAATCCTTTAACTTTATTATCACTTAAAAAAAGTATTAATTGCAGCTAAAATAATTATAGTTTCACTGTTTGTTTAAAGAACAGGAAATTGTTGTTTGGGAAGTTTTCATTGGTTTTAGACTGGCCACAAGCCATGCAGCCAGTTTAGTCATAACTTTGGAAAGTGTATGGAACGCCATTATTGTGATCATCAAAAAAAAATTCTGCTTGATTGGATATATATATTGTATGAATTGTTTAGGTAGACCTTCATACTATGTAACTATTTACAAATTTCAAGGTGACTGTGGAGAGATTTCAAAATCAGCCTATAATGTGTCAGCTTTACATAGATATATTCAGGGTGATTCACAAAAGGGTGAAGAGTTTGGAGAAGGCAGGAGAAGTGAACAATCTAGGACAACATAGCAGATTTGGAAAAATTCTCTAGTTCAACTCCCTTTCCAGCTCAGCTATGTTGTCCTAGATTGTTCACTCCTCCTGCCTTCTCCAAACTCTTCACCCTTTTGTGAATCACGCTGATTGAGTTATTGTAATTATTGTGTTTACTAACCGAAGCTGATTAAGTTTTTTAGTCACCTACTTTTAGTTTTATTTTGTACAGACAGCTCATATGAAGGCTACATTGTGTTACTTACAGGGTGTTCCTCTAATTGTGGAGTTGTGTTGCACTTTGGTGGAAGAGAAGGGTCTGGAATACCTGGGCATATATCGTGTCCCTGGAAATAATGCAGTAGTGATCAGCCTACAAGAACAGCTCAACAAGGGATTATGTGAGGCCAACATACAGGACCAGGTGAGCAGACCAGCACTGAATCCAGTCTTACAGAGGGCACACGTTAGGGAAAGTATCGTGGGTTTTTAGGAAGTACATATTTTAATACCTTTTCTTTAGAAATACACTGTTAAATGTTAAATGACATAGTGGTTAGCAATTCTTCCTAGCAGCACTAGGGTCCCAACCTGGACCTGCCTGGAGTTTGCATGATCTACCTGAGCTTGCATGGTTTCCCTTCCAGGTACATTGGTCCAGGTAATTGGCTGCTGTCTACATTGACCGTAGCATGTGTACTTATGCATGTGTGATAGGAACTTTAGATTGTAAGCTCAGGGACTGACATGAATGTACAATATGTAAAGCACTGTATAAATTCTCGGTGCTATATAAATACCTGTAGTAAAAAATATATTTCTCATAAGAATCCCTAAAGAGACTATACACTGCAGTATCTGAGACACTATGAATAATGGCAGTATGAATAAAAGTTCTGTAATGATCCTGTGCTGTCTTGCCTGGCCTGCACCCTTAAAGTCATAAAAAGTAAAGGGTACTTAAAGAATATCTCCAGGTACCCATTTCTCAAATAATTGTAGGTGTCTATATACTTTTAAAGGTTTACCAAAAGCCTGTTAATATGTTTGGTTTTTGGGCCTGAAGGCATTCTACATCCTCAAATTGGTACCACTTAGCATTACTGTCTCTCAGACAGAGTTATCTCCACCCCCTTCACTTTTTTATCGTCATGAGCCTGACCATTTCTGGACTGTACTGTTTTCTCATACAGCAATAAAAAGACTGCAAGCTATGTTTTCCGTCTTGTTAATTGTATCGGTATCAGTGCATCCCTAATAAAAATGCATTCAACTACCTTAACTATTAACACAAATGTAACTTTTTTGTGCATCACTCTGTTGCAGATTCTCAAGTCATCTCTTTACAGATTCTCAAGTCATCTCTGAATTTGTGCTGACTTTGTCCTTCCTTCTGGAGGGTGGCTACGTTTGTTACCCATGGTCCCTGTGTGTGTGTTGTAAAGTAGCCACCAGTCCAGGCTCACGCCTGTGATGGACTACAATCTCGATACAAATGAGTATGCTAAATGTGAGATTGTAGTCCATCACAGGAGCGAGGTTGGAGCGGTGGCTATTTTAGAACACACACAGGGGTCATGGGGAGCAACAGTAGCCACCCTCCGGAAGGAAGAACAGTGTCCGCTTGAATTCAGAGATGATTTGAGGATCCAGAGTGATGCAAAAAAGTTACATTTTTGTTAATATTTAGGGTACTTGAATGCATTTCTTTTATTTAAATCCTGACTTTAGTGTCACTTTAGGGCTACCTTTACTCTTTATAAGTGCAGCCATGCAACCGACTGTGGTCTCTATGCCCATTTGCCAGAACTTTGCGGTTTGGACCAAACATGTGGTACGTGACCCTGTGTCAATCCACATGGACCCATCAGTCCTCCAAAACCTGCAGCTCCTCCTGGTTGCTAAAGCTATAACAGAGGCTCCAAAAGAAGAAGCTGAAGAGGTTGTCACATTCACTAAATAGTGGTTGACAAAAGTACTCAAGGATACAAAGCTCACAGCCTTACAAATATCCTCCATCAAGACCCTAGCACAGGATGCTTCCTGATATTTTGTAGAATGAGGCCTACAGAAATATAAGCCTCCTGAATCATCTTGACTAGCCAGGTGGAAATAAGAATGCCGCATACACCTTCTTCTGCCCCTTGGGGAGAAAGAAACTGTTCCTTACCCACCTCCATGAGCTAATTCTCTACAGGTAGGATGAGATGAGAAAGACCAGGTCCAGGGCATTAGCTTCTTAGCCTTTCTCCACCCAGAATTTCGGAAGAACAGATTACCAATTTTGATGAAAAGGTTTTGCCACTTTAGGCAAATATTGTAGAGATGTATAACACTACTCTGCACTGAAGCAGCACACAGAAAGGTTCTTTGGAAAATAAATCTTTTATTTCTCTTACTCTTCTAGCCATTGAGATGGATTGCTTTCAAGACCCCAAATGGAAATGGAATGGATAGGCTTGCAAGACCACTAGAAAGTCCCAGTTCAGGAAGAAAGGCTTCTTTGGCAGATTAATCTTGAATGCGACTTGAGGACTTGCACTTTAGGAGAATAAAGATTTACAGGGTTATTCACAAAAGGGTGAAGAGTTTGGAGAAGGCAGGATAAGCGAACAATCTAGGCCAAAATAGCTGATTTGTGAATATTCTCCAATTCGGCTCACTTTTCAGTGCAGCTATGTTGTCCTAGATTGTTCACTTATCCTGCCTTCTCCAAACTCTTCACTCTTTTGTGAATAGCCCTGTTAGCTTTTTGTCCAATGCTCACTACAGAAAGTCCAGGATGTTTCCCATCAACAGGTCCATTGGATCAAAGGCATGTTCATTGGAAAACTGAAAGATCATATATGAAAATAAGTACCATTTGTGGAAAACTTTGTGGACATTAAACGAGTTCCAATTACTTCTTAATCTAAAAATCGTTTAGCACTCAACTTCCCAGCTGTTAAATACAACTCCCAAAGGTCTAGATAAAAGAGATCTTCTTGACACAAAAGGTTTCTCACAAGATGGATTCACAAGAAGACTGGAAACCACGGCCTTCTGGGACAGTATGGAATGATGGTTATAGCCTCCACCTCTTAATTTCGGATTTTCTGCAGAAGGGACATGAATGATGAGACCCATCAATGGATAATCATACACTGGAGAAAAGTCACCATGACAAGGCGTTCTGTCCCAGGACTGGATGGCACCTGATTTGGGAGAGGAGTAATGGTAGTTTGTGATAGGAATGAGAAGCCATAGTGACACTGAAAACCCCCATACTCCAAAAATATTTCTCAGGAGGTTGGAGTTTAGCTTCCATTCATTCCTGTCCATAAAACATCGAGTCGGGGCATCTGTCCTCTGATTCTCCAATACCTGGGGGACAGCGCCAGCATACAACCCTCTGCCTACTGGAAAATTTCCAATACCAGACACAGAAAAGAGACATTTATTTTTCCACCTTGGTTGGCTACATATTCCACCGCTGTCTTGTTGTCCAGTACTCAGATTTGCTTGCCCTTTAACTAGAAAAGTTTTTTTCTTCTAGGGCTGCTTTCAGCCTAAATCAGTTGAACACAAACAACCTCTTCTGGACTTGATGACTCAAACAATGCACTCCTTAACCCTGTAGCCTGATGTATGTAGTAAGTGTGATCCATGTGATTGCACTTGCCAACCAAGAGTTTTTACACAGTGATCCACCAATGGAGGTCTTGTTGGACTCTGGACGGGAGTTAACACAGGAGATAAGTCTTAAAAATGCATTCAAGTACCTTACCTATTAACAAAAATGTAGCTTACTTGTGTATCACTCGGTTGTAAATGCTCAAATCATCTCTGAATTCATGCTGACAGTATTCTTCCTTCTGGAGGGTGGCTACTTTTGTTTCCAGTGGTCCTTGTATGTGTTGTAAAGTGGCCATGGCTCCAAGGTCGCTCCTGTTATAAACTACAATCTAATGTTTAGTTTACTCATTTGTATCAAGATTTTAGTTCCTCACAGGAGCGAGCCTGACCCATAGCCTAATAATTAATTGGTGCTAAAGGGACACTAAACTCAGGATTGAATCTTAAAAATGCATTCAAGTACCTTTAATTATTACCAAAAATGTAGCTGATTTGTGTATCACATGACTGTAGATCCTCAAATTATCTCTGAATTCATGTTGATACTGTGCCTTCTTCTGGAGGGTGGTGTCGTGGGACCAGGGGTGCTCCATTACCTGGTTGTCAATGGGCATGACGCAGGGTGTAGAATCCTCCCTGTGGTATCTTAGTGCCCAGCAGCAGGATTGCGGGTGTGCGTGCCTGAGCGTGACGTGCATGCAGCCTATTAGTCAATTCAGGTGCTGATTATTCACAGGGAGGTCCCCACTGACGCACCTACATCTCCTCACAATCCCATTGGCTCCCGGTGGTTGATAGCTTCCTTGTTGCTCCGACAACAGGGGCATTCCTGGACCATTCTGGGTTTAAATCCCAGTCAGAGCCCTGACTTGTTGCTGAGTTATTCTGCCTGAATCCTGCGCCAGTACAAAACATTATACTGTTTCCTGCTCCTGATCTCCTTTCCCACCATCTCCTTTCCCACCATTCGGACTCACTGGTTATTGACCCCTGGCTTGTCTTCTCGTTATCGATATTTGCTGTCTGCCCCGACCCGGACTGTATCCTGACTACGCCTTTGGATTGCCCATCTTGTACCTCCACCACGGACTTGTATTCAGCCTGTTCCCTGCTACTGGGTTCCACTCCAGCACACAGGGTAACACCACCCCTGACATAATAACTCAGCCATACCATGGAACCCGCGGGAACCCCCGATACTGTGACCTCTCTTCTTCAACAGTTGGTGTGTATGACACAAGCCCTTCATGTACTACAAGCTAGTCATGACCGTCCGGCGCAAGGATTATTGTTATGCTACAGAAAATTAGAGCGCAGGAACAACACAAGGCTACCACCTTACCTTCACCGCCACGCGTGTTTGAGGTAGTGAACCCTGAGCCTTCCGTTGCGCTACCCGAGAGGTTCTCTGGCCGGCGAAAGGATTATTGTACTTTAATTTCCTCCTGCAAACTACTATTCTCCCTAAACTCCTGCAACTATGCCACAGACTTCATTAAGGTTCGTACTGCCATGTCCTTGCTTTCTGGACATCCTCAAACCTGGGCCCACCAGTTGTTACACAGTGATAGCCCGATACTAACTACCTAGGAGTAATTTGTCAACGCTATGAATGTCCTGTATGATAGCCCGTTGCACTACGCTATTGCTCATAACACCCTCTGATCCCTCCGACAAGGAAGAAGAGCCGTGGAGGACTTTAGAGAGGTGGCACCTGACACCACACTTAAAGTACTCCTGGCTACCACTGGGTCATCTCTTCCCGCCAAATATCAAGACTTTTCAGATGTCTTTGAAAAAAAGGGAGCC